CAGAGCAGGGAAATTGAGAGCTGAAGGGAATTCACCCAGCTCAGCTGGGACAGAGCCAGAAATAGAACCCAGGAGTCCTGGCTCCCACACTCCCCTAACCACCAGACCCCACTCCCTCCTAGAGCTGTGATAGAACCCAGGTGTCCCAGCCCTTCCCCCACCCCCCACTCTAACCCAGTAGCCCCCACTGCCCTCCCTTGGCTCTAGGCGACAGGTGTGGTGGGTGTCCCATGGGGGGAGAGGGAATAGCTCTCCTTTGACAGGCGCTGCCTTCTCCACTCAGGCACGGGCAGCGCGTGGCATGGAGCTCCCTGAGGTGGAGGACAACGCGGAGTTCCTGGAGCGACTGATGGAGGTGACCTCGCGCAGCCTGCCCCAGCTGGAGCTGCAGGAGCAATACACCATCCTCAAGGAGCTGGGCAGCGGCACCTACGGCAGCGTGCTGCTGGCAGAGCACCGCGAGCGAGGTGAGGGCAGCGCCGGCTGCTCCTGGGTGGGACGGGCCTGAGGAGCCGCAGCCTGCACTGGGGCCCTGCAGGGAGCAGGGTGGGGGCTTGGCAGAGGGCTCTGTCCCCTCGCAGTCAGTGCCGGCCCCAGTGGGGCACTACGCGGCGCTGTGCTGCAGGGAGCGGGGTGGGGGCTCAGTAGGGGGCGCTCTCCCCAGCAGTCAGTGCCGGCCCCAGTGGGGCACTACGAGGCGCTGTGCTGCAGGGGGTGGGGGCTCAGTAGGGGGCGCTCTCCCCAGCAGTCAGTGCTGGCCCCAGGGGGTGCTAGGGGGCACTGTGCTGCAGGGAGTGGGGCAGGAATTCAGGGATTCGCCCAGTTGCTCTCTGACACCACTTACTTCAAAGTAGCCAGCTCCCTTTTGCTCACTGCTCCCGGCACAGGCACCAACGGCCCCATGCCACCCAGCAGGTGATCCATTGCCACTGCCATGCCAGCCACTCGGGCACCCACTGCCAACTCCCAGGGGCCCAGGGAGCAGTAAGTGAGGTGAGGGGGCAGCCACAGAAGGGAGTGATCCCACTCGGGGCCCTCGACACCCAGAACCTACTGACACAATGGGACTCTCTGAGCCCACCCACGGGGCCCCTCCACCCCCTCTGTTTGTGCCCAAGCACTGCCCCTGCTGAGACACACCGACCCCCACCTTTGTACCCAGGCTCCGCCCCCTGCAGGGACACACTGATCCCCCCTTTGCACCAGGCCCTGCCCCTACTGGGACACACCAACCCCCGCTTTGTACCCAGTCCCTGCCCCCTGCAGGGACACACTGACCACCTTTGCGCCCTGGTACCACTCTGCCCCTGCTGGGACAGACTGACCCCCTCCTTTGTACCCAGGCCCCAACCCGCTGCTGGGGCACACTGACCCCCTCCTTTGAACCCAGGCCCCACCCCCTGCTGGGGCACACCGACCCCCTCCTTTGTACCCAGGCCCCATCCGCTGCTGGGGCACACCAACCCCCTCCTTTGTACCCAGGCCCCACCCCCTGCTGGGGCACACTGACCCCCTCCTTTTCACCCAGTCCCTCCTTTGCTGGGACACACTCACCACCCCCCTTTTATCGAGCCCTCATCCCCAGCTGAGACACACCGACCCCCATTTTGTACCCAGGCTCTGCCCCATGCTGGAACACAATGACCCCCCCCCCTTTGTACCCACGTCCTGCCCACTGCTGGGACACACTGACACTCCCTTTGTACCCAGGCACGGCCCTGGCGTTGAAGCTGATGCCGAAGGAGAGGACGGAGCGGCGGGCATTCCTGCGGGAGTACTGCATTGCGCTCTGCCTGTCTGCCCACGCCGGTTTCCTGCGCACTCTGCCCATAGCTTTCGAGAGCCCCACCCACTTTGCCTTTGCCCAGGAACTAGCGCCCGCTGGGGACCTGTGTGCAATCGTGCGTGACGGGGTATGCTGGCATGAGGCAGGGTGGCAGGGGGGTTCTGGGGAGTGGCGAACAGGGGATGGGGCATCAGATGTCAGCGGGGCCATTGAGCAGGGGATGGGATGGGGAGCAGGGGCATGGGGCACTGGGTCTCAGTGGGGGCCTGTGAAGCAGGGAGCTGGGGAGTGGAGGATGGGGGATCGGTGCTGGGGGTCTCGGGAGTGTGTGGCTGGGGGCTCAGCGGAGAGGGTTGCTGGGGTACAGGGTCTCAGGGTTCCTGGGAATAGGGGCTGGTAGGCTGGGGTCTCGGGGCAGGGGAGCAAGGGATGCGGGATGGGTTCTCAACAGGAGGCCTTGGGACCTGGGGTGCAGCATGGGAGATGCTGGAGGGACACTGGTGTGCTGTGGGGAGTTACAGTACAGGGCTCTGTAGGGTGCTGAGTGGGTGGGGCCGGAGAGAGCATAGGGTGCTGTGGGGGGAAGGGGCACTGTGACGGGGAGGTCTCCAGTGGGGGCGCTGTGTGGGGAGGTCCCAAGAGGGGGTGCTGGGGTGCAGGGGAGGTCCCCGGAGGGGGTTCTGGGGCACTGTGCGGGGGAGCTCCCTCGTGGGGTGCTGTGCAGGGGAGGTCCCCAGAGGGGGTGCTGGGGCACTGTGTGGGGAAATCCCAGAGGGGGTGCTGGGGTGCTATGTGGGGAAGTCCCTGGCGGGGCACTGGGGCATTGTGTGGAGGAGGTCCCTGGAGGGGGTGCTGTGCGCTGTGCGGGGGAAGTTTCCGGAGGGGATGCTGGGGCGCTATGCAGGGGAGGTCTCCAGAGGGGGCGCTGGGGCGCTGTATGGGGGAGGTCCCTGGTGTGGTGCTGTGTGGGGAGGTCCCCAGAGGGGGCACTGGGGCACTATGCAGGGGAGGTCTCCAGAGGGGGCGCTGTTGGTGGGAGGCCAGGGCTGCCCGTGTGTAACCCCCGTGCCCCCACAGGAGGGTCTCCCAGAGGCCCAGGTGAAGCGCTGCGCGGCACAGCTGGCTGAGGCCCTGGACTTCATGCACGGCAAAGCCCTGGTGCACCGGGACATCAAGCTGGACAACGTGCTGCTCTTCGACTGCGAGTGCCGGCGGGTGAAGCTGGGCGACTTCGGGCTGACGCGGCTGGAGGGCACGCCCGTCTGCGCCATGTCGGGCACTCTGCCCTACGCGCCGCCCGAGCTCTGCCTGCTCGAGGCCTCGGAGACGCTGGAGCTGGACGCCAGCCTGGACGTGTGGGCCTTCGGGGTGCTGCTCTTCTGCCTCGGCACCGGCTGCTTCCCCTGGGACGTAGCTGTCAGTCCCGACCCCCAGTTTGAGGAGTTCGGCGCCTGGCAGAACAGCACGGTGCCAGGGGAGGCGCCGGCGCCCTGGAGGGCTTTCGGCACCGCAGCCCAGGAGATGTTCCGGCGGCTGCTGACCCTCGACCCCAACCGCCGCAGCCCAGCCATCGAGGTGCACAAGTACCTGCCCCTGGTCTGGCTGGCGAGCAGCCTCCGGGAGCTGGACGGTGTCGGGGGACTGGGGGGCCAGGAGCACAGCCAGAGCCTGGCCGGAGAGCAGCACGGTCAGGAACAGCCCCGAAGCAGCCCAGGCGCTGCCTGCGGCACAGGCCCCCCCACCGAGAGCTCTGCCCAGCCTGGGGGGGGCAGGCCCCAGTCCACATTGGGGAAAGAGGTGGGGGGAGGGGAGGAAGGAGCAGAGGGAAAGGGAGGAGGCACTGGCAGGAGCGGAGGGGGAGGGGAGCCAGCACCCCCTGCCATAGCTTCCATCCCCTGCCACCCCTCTGTCTCCTTGGCCCCCATCCCGATCAGTTCCTGCTGAGGAGCCCGAGATGAAGGGGCAGCCCGGGGCTCCCTGCCGGAGCTGCGCTTGCCACAGCCAGATAGGCCCAAGGGCTGGGCTCAAGGAGCCTGTTCCCCTCCGACAGCGCCAGCCCCTGCTGGGTGGGCAAAGGAGCCACTGCCTGCATCTACAGCAAGTCATGGGCGATGAGCCCAGCCATGGGGGGCACTCTGAGGTCAAGGTGACCCATTGGCCAGGGGCTTCCAGCGCCGGGCTGTGGCTAAGGGGGCGAGCGCACGGCTGGGCTGGATCAGCAAGGGGTACCCAGCATGGTCGGGGAGGGTAAGTGGGACCGTTCCTCGGCCCTGGGCCCAGCTCAGGTGTCCTCACTGGGACAAGCGGGGAGGGGTCGAAGAGCTACAAGACGGATTTGGGGGCTGGGAACCTGCCGGGCAGGGAGAGGCTGAAGGAGCTCAGTGGATTCAGCGTCTCCGCCCAGAGGAGGGTCAGAGGAGCCGCGATCCCGGCCTCTGGATACCTGCCCAGGGAGGAGATTTCAGAGAGCAGGGGGCTCTGTGCAAAGGCAGAGCCAGACCCACTGCTGAAGCCAGACTGATGCAGGCTGGGAATAAGGTGCAGTTTTTGGATGAGGAGAACTAATGCCTGGAGCAGCTTCCTGCAGGGTTGGGGGATTCTCCTGACTGCTTTATAAACCTTTGTCACAGATCCACAGGAGCGGGGCTACGGCCCCAGCTTTGTAACAGTCCCATCAGTGTGCCAGACCCCCTAGGGCTCTCACTCGTTCTCCAGAGTAAGCCACATGGCCTCACCACCTCCTTAGGCCGGACCTCTGGTCCGCCAGCCCCCCTGCACCACCCCGTGAGCTCCGTTCAGGGAGTCCCACTGAGACAGACCCCTGAGGGAGACTTGTACAATCGTAGGGAGCAACGCACCCCTCCACCAGCGTGTGCAGGGACACACAGCCAGCGCTGTCACACGGGCGGGTTTATTAGTCGACTGGCCCCCAGTGCAGGAAGCCCTTGGTGACCCCAGAGAAATGACGGTTACAGCAGAGCCCATTCTAGGTAGCCAGAGCTCAAAGCTCTGTCCCTGTGTCGCTCAGCCTGCCCTCCTCCCTCAGTAGAGCCCTGCATGGATACAAATTTCTACCTGTGGATGCGGAGATCTGCAGATAGAGATCGGTATCCACGGAACCACAGGGCTCCCCTGGGAACAAGCAAGAGGCCCCCAGTGCTTGGCCTGGGTTAGCCCTGAAGACACGTAGACCTTGCTTGTCATAAAAGCTTCTATTGCTTTTGGAAATTTAAGAGTGGAACTCGTTTGTGTGGGGGGGTGTTTACCTGCTTTAACCTTGTAAATCACCCGCTTGATTCCTTTTCCTAGGAATCAATCTCTACCTAGTTTATTACAGGATTGGCTACAAGTGTTGTCTTTGGTGTGAGATTTAAGGTGCAATTGACCTATGGCGAGTGACTGGTCCTTTGGGAGTGGGAGTCACCTGAAAATGGCTCACCCACATGGCCTCAGGGATCCAAGTGGTGGAGGCAACCACCAGATGACTCCTACCCTCCCTGACATACTCAGGGATCCCATCATGGTGACCCCCCCCCAGCTGCCCCCACCCCTGCCAGCCTCAGGGATCTAATGGGAGCAGAATCTGAGCACCCTTCATCCAGGGATTCACACACGCATGTAGTGGCAGCAACACCCAGCCACAACCCACCTCTGCCCCCTCTGAACAAATTCAGAAATCCTGTGGGGGCAGTACCCAGCTCTCCCCTGCCCCCTCGCTGGCCTCAGGGATCCATTGGAGGCAGCGTCAGCACCTGGCCACCCACCAGCCAGCACCATGGATCCATTGGTGGCTTCATCTGGCTGCCCCCCCACCCCCGCGCTGGCCTGAGTGATCCGGTGGTGGTGACACCAGGCCTGCCCCTCCGTCAGGGATCAAGTGGCTCCACCCACCACCACCCTCGCCAGCCTCAGGTTTGCCAAGGTGGTGATGGTACCCAGATATCCCCACTCCCTCTGCTAGCCTCAGGGCTCCAGTGTCCATGGTATCCAGTGTAGTAAGATGAGGCCCTGAAACATAAACCCTTATATCAGAGGCCCGGTATGAGGCCTAAGGCCTGAACTAAAGTAATGGTCAAGACTTTGCTAACATAAAGCAGAGTTAAGCTGTGAGCCAGAGGCAGGCCCTGCTCACAAAAGTTGGCAAGAAGAAGGCTGCTAATTGGACGTATACACATATCTAAAGGGCATCAAGCACTAATAGGCTAAACATGGGCCAGGATGGCACCAGAACAGTCCGGTACGAACACATTCCACAGAGATAATGAGGAACAGGCTGACCCATCCTAAAAGACAGGGTGAAAAGGATAATATGATGGATAGACTTGTTTGTTCGAACCAACATGTACCAGCAGAGAGGCAGCACCCCAACACGCAGAGGGGTTGTACCTCAATATGTCAGGAGTGATGTGTAATTTGTTTGTACCTGTGTATAAGAATGCATACCTGAGGAGGTGTCTTTGTCCAGCCTAGGGGGCAGTGGAGAGTCCCACCACTGACTGAGCTGCGTCCATTGTCATTGAGCACGTATGTACTAGCAGAACAGTAGACATCTGATCTGGGGAGCTAGAGACTATGTTTCATTTGGCAATAAACCTGGCCGGGTGCCTTCGTACCTTATCGGAGTCTGTGGTCATTGGAGGTTCTCTCGGGGTCTGCTGCGTCAGCTATCTGTGCAGAGCCGAGGCAGCACACAGAGGGAACACACGCACGCAGCCGACTGTTATCAACATTGAACAGAGCAGAGCACCACACCAGTGACGTCTGATGACATCCAACTCACCGCATGGAATGAGCCACCGAAATATCTTGAGAGAACCTGGTTCAAAATGGAAATAAAGCTCCCTCTGACCACATACCCCTAGTTGTCACCTGTCACCCCACATAGGCTCTCATACGGGGTATAATGAAACAATGACACCCCATACTCAACAGGGACCCCATCCTGAAAGCAATCTTTCCTGAACCCCCTCCTCTGGCCTTCAAACAACCCTCCAACCTCATCATCGGAAGCAAGCTCCCCACAGACCAGCACCTAGCAACTCAAAGCAGCACCAGACCTTGCCAGAACAACAGATGCAAAACCTGCAGCCGTATCTCCACTGCTACCATGATCCACACTCCCACACAACACACCTTTCAAGAGCCATGGGTCCTACACATGCAGTGATGAGCTCCCAAAGTCCTAATAACCGGTTCCCTACTGGGTCCTCGGCAGCACTTCAGTGGTGGGGGGGACCTTCACTCGCTCCGGGTTTTCGGCGGCATTTCGGCAGCGGGTCCTTCACCCGGAGTGAGTGAAGACACACACACACACACCCCGCCACCGAAGTCCCGGTAGGAAACCGTGCGGTAAGTACAAGCCCCACGTGCCTGTCTCCCCCCGTACCTATCCAACCCCAACCCACGTCCTGACCCCCCCCGCCCCCCCCCCCCCCCCCCCCCCCCCCCCCCCCCCCCCCCCCCCCCCCCGCTTCTTGTCCCCTGACCACCCCCTCTCGACCCCATCCACCACCACCCTGACAGACCCCCGGAACTCCCACGCCTACCCAACCCCCCCGTTCCCCGTCCCCTGACCACCCCCCCAGAACCTCCGCCCCCTCCAAAGACTCCCTGCCCCTTATCCAACCCCTCCTCCCAGCCCCGGCCCCCTTACCATGCTGCTCAAAGCAGCAGGAGCTGCAGAGATGCCCAGAGCGCTGGCGCCAGCGGCGCGGCGCGCTGGGGCTCTGCGAGAGGGGGAGGAAGCAGGGGAGGGGCCGGGGAAGCCTCCCCAGCTGAGAGCTCAGGCAGGCTGGACAGGACTGTCCGGCAGGCCGGATGTGGTCCATGGACCGGAGTTTGCCCACCCGCCGGCCCCTTTAACAACTGGTTCTACACCGGCTTCTAAATTTAACAACTGGTTCTTGCAAACCAGTGCGAACCGGCTGCAGCTCACCACTGTACACATGCCTAGCACAACATGAGATGTAACCTCACCCAGTGCACTAAATACCCCAATAACAACTAGAGTAATGCTATGACTGTGTGCTGGAGCCGTGGGCGTTGGAGAAGTGGGCAGTCTCCGGCCGCGCCGCTCTCCCCTCCATGGCTATTACACAGTTTGTGATGATGTGTGCAGGAACCGAGAGCGGCTCCCTTGCGGTGTAGACGCCCGTGGCAGCCACACATCATGTATTACTACCTAGCAGTGCTGTGGGGACACCAAGCACCAGGGAATGAGGAAGCAGCTCCAGAGCCATGTTTCCCTCCCCCAGAACCGTGCTAAAAACGCAAGAGGCTGAAACCAGCCGCTGTGCAGCGAGAAACCAGACAGAGCTGGGCTGAGCACCCCGAGTCTGGCTGGGAGCTCAGGGCTTCTGGGGGGATGGGGCGTGACTATGACCAGTGGTAGCCAGGCCTAGTGGAGCTGCGTGGCGCACACGCCTGGCTCTAGTCTGGGGGAATCGCACCGTCGCCTGTGGGACTCGGCCAAAATCCCCACTTGACACGCAGCTCTAATTAACTGCCGGGATTCTGGGCCAGATCCAGCAACCCTCTGTGATGGAGTCTGTTTATACAGGGGCCCCTTGTCTGGTGCTGAGATGCGGCTGCCTCTGGGGTGGGGAATAGGGGCTGTTTACACAGGGACTCCCCCACCTGGTTCTAAGATGCAGCCACCTCTGGGGTGGGGCACAGGGGCTGTTTACACAGGAACCCCTCGCCTAGTGCTCAGATGCAGCCCTTCTGGGTGAGTCCTGTTGGCTGCATGGTAGCTTTCGCTGTCTCACTCTGCCCTGTCCCCATCACTGCTGTCTGCTCTCTCTTCCAGCCCCGGCTCTGCAGGTCACCAGCCAGGAGTCCTGCCACCCGGAGGGTGAGTGCCCCCAGCAGCTCACAGGAAGGCCAACCCATCTCAGCAGGATGCCGAGTGCAGGGGCCCCAGGACCCGTGGCCAGTGAGAAGCAGGATGGGATCCCTCCGCCCTCCCAACACCAGAGCCTCCTGTGGGCCCCCGTTTCCACTTCTCTTCCCAAACTCCAGGGCTGGGACCTGACTTTGTTTAACCAAAAGCAGGGACAGCCCAGTATGATGAAGTGGGGGATTTTCTTGTTTTTCCTTGTTTTCCAATGGTTTGCATTCAGAGAGGGTGGGACTCAGTTTCCCTGGGTGTTACTGGTTTAACGAGGTGAGGGGAGAGGGAGTTTGTTGTTACAGAGGACCAGCGAGGGAACTTGGGACCCCAGCCGATGGCCTGGAGGACGGATACCTCAGCGACTGGTGACCTGGCGACCCGGAGGCCCAGCTCAGGAGTCGCAGCTGGTTCTGGCCAGTGGAAGGACAATGGGCTGTAAAGAGAGGACCCCGGTGACCTAACCAGCCGGTTCCAGCCAGAGGACAGAAGAAAGGAGAGGAGGCCCAGGCGACCCTGTTTACCTGGATGGAAGACAATGGACAGAAGCGGGGCTTGAGGCCGGTGATATCAGATGCCCAGCTGGGAAGCAAGGGGGGCTCTGGGCTGGAGAGAGGGAGCAGGCAGAGCCCACCTGGATGCAGGGAGACTGGGATGTGCTGGGCTGAGGGAGGCCAGACCTGAGGCCCTGAGAGTTTCCTATGCTGTGTTCAACGCTCAATAAACCCTCCGGTGTTATGCTGGCTGAGAGTCACTCCGGTCTAGAGAACAGGGTTGCATCATCCCCTTTGGGGGGGTGGAGGCCCCGGGGTCCAGAGCAAGTGGACTCCGAGGGGGCCCACGACGAGAAACAGGTGTGCTAAGGCTCCGAGAGGTGCGGCTCCAGGAGGTGGAGGGGCTTAAGGGAGAGTGGACCCCCAAGAAGGGCTGTCTCACTGAAAGGGGCACCCCCCCATAGACTGCACGGGGCTAAGAGTGGGCACGATCTGTGAGTCCGTGTCACCCAGATCCCAAGGCTCCGGGAGCTGGGGCTGCAAGGGAACCCCAAACACTGCTAGACCGTGGCAGATTCATGAACATCGGTGACCCTGCCAGGCCAGGCAAAGGGGACCCCGATATCCCCCCCAGTGACCCTGCACCTCACTCCAGAGGGGGAACCTCCCCCCGATCTGGAAATTGGTGTCTGGCTCAGATGCTCTGCCCTGCTGGGAAATCCCCTGGGCCCCATGCTGTGTGACGATTCCCCACCCTGCGCCAGGGGATCTACCTGCTGGTCCCCACCAGGGCAGCCCCCTATCAACATACGCCTTGTCACCAGCCCCGGGGCACTCACTGGGCAGGAAAGAGGCCCCAAAATCCTGCAATTGGGTTCAAAACTAGCCAGACACTCACTGATGTTGTGATAGGGAGGCTGAGATTCTCCCCTCCCCCACATTCAGGGTCTCCCCACCTGCCCTCATGTGGTCTCTGCCCCTCCCCCACATTCCAAGTTTCCCCACCTGCGCCCCATATGGTTTATGCCCCTCCGCCCGAGGATCTGCCCCCTTCCCGACAGCCTGCTTTGGGTCTGTCTATTCTGCAGTTGCGCGCAGTGATTGCCGCTCATGTAGACGTACCTGAGCCAGCTGGCTCGGGTCCCCGGTCCCTGGTAAGTGCTCCCCAGGGTCGCCTGTCTGGAGGCGCACTCTGTGCTATGGGAGCTAGCTAGACGGGGTACGTCTACACCAGCTGCACCCGAGATACTAGTCTGACTCTGGTTTCTCTGTAGCTCCCTGGCCAGGCTCTCACTCCCGCTTCTCCCCCCAGGGTCCCTGCTGGCTCCTCAGCTCTCTCTGAACGTGTCCCTGGCTCATGTTGGGGACACAGTTGCTGTGAAGTGTGTGGTCCCAGGAGAGTCCACCATGACCCGCGTTATCTTCTGCGAGGACGGGCAGGAAGCTGCAAGTCAAACGATCACCCCCGGGTGATTCTCTTACGACTTCACCCGTCGCGTCTCCAGCCCGGGGGACACCAGGGATTTCTCCTGCTGGTACCAGTACAGGGGTGACAATAACGAGCTAGTTAATTCCAACCTGAGCACCCCCAAGACCCTGCGCGTGACAGGTGAGGCCCTGAGCCCCTGGCCTGCCCCACCCAGAGCGGCCGGGCAGAGACAACCCTGACCCCGCTGCTGGGACAGGAACCAGTCGCTGTGCCAAGCTCAGAGGGCTCTGGGGCAGCTGGCGTGTCTGGGAAGGAGCCCCCATCATGTCCCTCCCACGGGGCAGGGACTCTCTGCCACCCCCCACTGCTGTGTCTAAGGGAGCTGGCTGGGCCGACACAGCCCAGAACAGCCCAGGGTGCCCAGAGCGTCCCGTGGTGCCCGAAAGTCTGGCTGAGCAGTGACTGCCTGGACTGGCTGGGCTCTTTCACAAGCAGGGCCCGAGGCTCTGTGCCAGCTGCTGCTGAGCCCCACGGACCCTGCCCCCAGGCCTGACCGGTGCGCCAGCGTGAGCTGAGCCCGCGCTCTGTGTGTGGGGCTGTAACAGCTCCTGTGCCCTGCGGCTCGGCACAGAGGGGACCTGGACACTCTCTCCTCACTGGGTTACGGCAGCAAACCCACTAGTCCCAGCGGGAGTCTCCCCCAGGCCGTGCAGCGCCCCCAGGAGCTCATCTCTGGCTGGGTGGCCCTGGAGGGGCGGCTCTAGCAGGCTCCGGGGCCAGAAGCCCCATCTGACAGAGGGGCAGCCCCTTTCCCTGCAGTCCCTGTGCCGGCTCGGGCACAACTCCGGCTTGGTGCATTGTCCCTGCCGTCAGCCTAGGCTGGCACAGGCTCTCTACCTGGCCCTCCCCATGCCAGCTCTCAGGCTGACAAGAGGCCCAGGCTCACTGCCCAGCAGGTGCTGCTGGTGCCACTCTGTGTGCATGTGTACCCCACATCTGGGATCGGAACTGCCCCCATTCTCCCAGCATACACTGGGACAGACTCGGCTGGGATGGCAGAAAAGCTGCAGCCCGGAGTACTCTGAGCTGTACGTGAGCATGGAGCCGGTTCGGGGCAGCTATGCAGCGGGGCCTGAGCCACTGTGACTGGGGTGGATATGGGGCAGGGCAGGAGAGGACAAGGCAGGAAGGGGCAGGCTGGTATTTAGCCAGGTGCCCATGAACCAGGCAGGCTGCTGCCCCTAGGGGCAGATGTGCTGGCTGACAGGATGGGGGCATGGGGAGCTGGCCCGCAGGATGGCTGGGCGAGGCTGGGGGTGACAGAGGGATGCTGCTGTGCGGGAGGATCAGCTGTGCCAGAGACCCAGAGGGCAGGCGGCTGCTGCCTCTTCCCCTGGAGGCAATTGGCTCGTTCTGTGCAGGTTGGGGGCAGAGACGACTCCTCCGGGGGCAGCCTGGGCCCTGCCTGCCCAGCCTGGCTCTCTCACTGGGGGTCAGTGTCAGCTCCCCGGCCAGAGCCCAGACCCACAGTGGGCACTGCCAGGCAGGGAGGGGGGCTGAGGGGCAGGGAGGGCTGTGGGCAGGCAGAGGGTCGGACCTGCAGGACCCAGATATCAGGACACAGGGGTCTGGTGAACCTGGGGGACCCAATGAGAGCCAGGAGCCCCTGTCCCTGCTCCCTGTTCCCCACAGCACTCAGCAACACAGAGCCGTGGGAGTCACTGGTGGCCTCTGCTGGGCCCTTCCCAAACTCTGCCCAGGGCTCAGGGCCGGCTCTGGCTTTTTTGCCGCCCCAGGCAAAAAAGCCTCCCGCCCTCCCCCCCTCCCCCGCCCCCCGGAGCGCGGCAGGGGAGGGCGCCGAGCCCGGCCGCGGGCCGCTCTCCCTGACCAGCTGGAGCGCCGGGGGGAGGGCGGCGAGCCCGCCGCGGCTCCGCTCTCCCAAGCGGCCAGAGCGCCGGGAGGAGGGCGGCGAGCCCGCTGCGGCTCCGCTCTCCCCGGCGGCCAGAGCGCCGGGGGAGGGCAGTGATCCCGCCGCGGCTCTGCTCTCCCCGGCGGCCGGAGCACCGCGGGGAGGGCGGTGAGCCCAGTCGCGGCCCCGCTCTCCCCGGCGGCCAGAGCACCGGGGGAGGGCGGCGAGCCCACTGCGGCTCCGCTCTCCCCGGTGGCCGGAGCACCGCGCTGCGCTGCCCCCCTCCAGGTGCCACCCCAACCACAAGCTTGGTGGGCTGGTGCCCGGAGCCGGCCCTGCCAGGGCTGGTGCTGCCAATGACCTGGGCACTGGGCTAGTGGGCTGGTATTAGGGGAGTGGCCTGGGGGCTGGGCTGAGGGGCTGGTATTAGGGGAGGGGCCTGGGCGCTGGGCTAGTGGGCTGGTATTAGGGGTGGGGACTGAGGGCTGGGCTGAGGGGCTGGTATTAGGGGAGGGGCCTGGCTGGTATTGGGGGTGGGGCCTGAGGGCTGGGCTGAGGGGCTGGTATTAGGGGAGGGGCCTGGCTGGTATTGGGGGTGGGGCCTGAGGGCTCGGCTGAGGGGCTGGTATTAGGGGAGGGGCCCGGCTGGTATTAGGGGAGGAGCCTGGGGGCTGAGCTGAGGGGCTGGTA